ATGGGTAGGTGCAGGCTAATTCACAATAGCTTCTATCTTTTGCGGATCGACAGACACACCATCCTTGTTAATCACATGCCCCAAAAACACAACTTCATTCAACCAAAATTCACATTTCTTCAATTTAGCATATAACTTCTTATCCCTAAGTGTTTGAAGAATTAATCTCAAGTGCTTTTCATGTTCCCCTTACTTTTCGAATAAATAAGAATGTCATCAATGAATGCCACCACAAACTTAGCTAAATGTAGTTTGAAAATCCAATTCATTAAATCCATAAAAGATGCTGGTGCATTCGTAACCCCAAATGACATAACTAGAAATTCATAATGACCATACCTGGTTCGGAAGGCTGTCTTCTCAATATCCTCTGCTTTGACTTTCAACTAATGGTACCCGGATCTCAAATTATTTTTTGAAAACACTTGTGCCCCCCTGTAATTGGTCAAACAAATCATCAATCCATGGTAAAGGATATTTATTCTTCACCGTTACCTTATTAAGTTCTCGGTAATAAATACACAACCGAAGGGTCCCATCCTTCTTTTTCACAAGCAAAGCGGGTGCGCCCTATGGCGATGTACTCGGTCGGATGAACCCTTTGTCAAGTAATTCTTGTAACTGTATTTTCAATTCCTTTATTTCTGCCAGAGACATTACGTACGGAGTCTTAGAAATTGGTTGAGTTCTCGACACAATATCAATGACAAATTCCATCTCACGGTCTATCAAGTCCCCTAGCAATTCCTTAGTAAACACATTCGAAAACTCATTAACAATTGGAATATTTCCAACACCCGCCTCGGTTGTCTTTACATGCAAAATGCTACACAAATAACCCTTATAACCCTTCTGAAGTAGTTTACAGGCTTTCATAACCGATATTAGATAGCGTGGAGGAGCTGCCCCATGTCCTATAAAAGTAAACTCATCTTGGCTTGATGGACAAAAAATAACTTGCTTGGACACACAATCAATGGTTGCATGATACTTAGCTAACCAATCCTTCTCCAAAATTATATCGAAGTGTACCATATCAAGAGGCATCAAATTAGCACATAATGGAATATCGCTAAGTAAAAGCTCACATGCAAGATAAATGGAAGCATGCATTGAGAAAAGAATGTTAAGAAATAAATTTTCATGGAATGGTTTTGGGGTAAATACTTTGGTAAGTCTTGATAGGTGGTGTAGATGATAATGAACAAGTTGGCCTGAGAGTCCGATGTGAAAGATCGAAAACCAGCGCGGATAGGTGTCGAGCCTTTCAGTTAATACCGGTAAAAATGACAATTTGGTAATACTTGTATAGTCTACTTGCAGACACCGACCTAAGGATTACAGAATCGTATTTACCGCCCTTGAAATAAATTGTTAAGTTTTGAACAATTGAAATTGCATGATATCATTGAGCATGATGGTTTTCAAAAGATGAAAATGTGATTTATCTTCAAAAATGGCATAGCATGGCATGTGCATTTCATCTCTTGAGACTTATATAAAATGTATATACTTTGTTAAGAATTTCCTACTGGGCTTCATGCTCACCCTATGAGATTTTTGTGCAAGAAAAGATGTGGTGATCCCACCCAACTAGGGACGTGAAAGTATGTGTGTTGGGAGTACAATGCTCTCATTTTGTTGTGACTATGTGTGTAAGCCAAGGGTTGTGTTTGTGTGGGTTTGAATAACCGTTTTGTGTAAGCCTTGGAAACTTGTAAACCCTTGGAGGTATTTACTTGTTGTTGGATTAATGTATTGTTGCATGAAGAACTATTGTATCATGTAATGTAAGTTTGGAGATTTATATTCGGTTTTCCTTGAAAGGGGCCATGATTGTTGTGTTATCATTTCGGCTAGAAATTTGGGACGTTATAGAGTGGATGTTTGCCTAATGTATCTTTCATTATCTCCCATTTTCAATTATTTTCAAAACAAAAAATTTAAATGTTAGTGTAATAAACATATTTTTTATTTTCATTTTTTTCCAAAATAGACATGAACATATTTAATATATTTTTTAAATTAAAAATAATAAAACATACAAAAAAAACACCAAAAAAATTATTTATCATCAACTTTAGAAAAAAAGTTGAAGACCCACTAATTTTTTCACATTAAAAAAAAATAATTTGTTTCACAACTTTCTGAAAGCATCCAATTTCTTAAAATTAGGTTATTTATACAAAAATCTCTTAAATTATTGATAAATATTATTTTGATTGTTAAACTATGAAAGAGTATAAATATATCCTCTAAATTATTGAGAAGTATCATTTTACTCTTTAAACTATAAAATCGTACAAATTGAACCGTTAACAAAATGAGTCAAAGTGAAATACGCTAATGAATTAGAAGGTCCATTTGTACATTTTCATTTGTGCCTGTTTGGTAGAGTTTAATTTTAGATTAACTCAGCTTTTATATTATTTTGAGCTTTTTTGGTGTGTTTGGTAGAGCTTAAAATCACTTTCTGTAGCTTAAATTAATTTTTGTCTTAATGGCAGAAAGGCTGCTTTTTGGATTCAGCTTAAGCGGAAAGCTAAAATTGAGGGACAAAATTACTTAAATGCCCCTTACTAATTTGAAGTATTACCAGATTGCCATTATATAAACCACAAAGATCACTGTTCATTCTCAAAGAGAGAGAGAGAGGCGATTTTCGGCAAGCGATTTGTAGCAAGACGCGATTTCCGGCGCTCAACACCTGTTCTCAACACCTCTCTCTCTCTCTCTCTCTCTCTCTCTCTCTTTCTCTCATGAACCAGTGCTCTTCCTCTCTCTCACATTCACAAACTAGAGCTCTCTTCTCTCTCTCTCTTCACTACCACCATGGATTTGTAAACCCTAGCTTCACGATCGAGCTTCCATGTCTGCAATCTCAATTGAGGGGTGAAACCCTAACCATCGCGATCTAAAACCCTAGAGTCACGATCGACTACATGACGATTAACGGTGACAATCAATCGTCCGTCGTTGTCCCCCATCCTCCATCGCTGCTGTGGCTTTGACGGTGACTATCAACGACCAACCCTAGGGTTTTCAGTGTTTTTTCAATAATAATAATAATAATAATAATTAAGCATTTTAAGCCATTAATGAAATAAATAAATTTTATATTAATTGATACTAATTAATAATTTTAGTAGTAATTGATACTAATTAAGCCATTAATTGATAATAAATTAAACAATAAAATGAAAAAATAGTGGAAACAAATATTGTGTATATTGTATATTTTTGTAATGAATTAATAAATTAAAAAAATTAACAATTTTTATATTATCAACAGAAGAGTGTAATTTATCCATTTTATTTTATTTTTTTATACTAATTTTGTTGGTTCATCTTTAAATAATTAATATCTAAGAAGAGAAGAACAAAAAAGAAAATAAAATAAAATGAAGAAAAAGAATAGCAAAAAGTCGAGATAAATTCAATTTATAACTAACAAGGGTAAAAAAGACATTTACACAGCAAAAGCTACTTCATAGCTTATTTAACAAACACTACTTAGCAACTTAAATCTATAATCTAACAGTTACACCAAACAAATTAATAACTTCTGATTAAAGTCATAATTTATAATCTATTAAGTTATAATCTATAATCTGTTTTAACAGCTACACCAAACGAGGCCTTTGTCGTTTATAATTTATGAGTTAAAGTGATGGGTGATTCTATTTACACACTACTAATACTCTCAGTAGACACCATTAATAGATTAAATTTATATTCAATAATATCTCCCAATGAAATTACCATTAAGGACAACATAAGGTGTTTTCTATCAATTCAAAAATTTCATATTTAAAACACAATATACTCTTCATACATCATTATTCCTATAAAGTTTAGGGTTTTAACATATAAATATTCTATTTCTTCATCATCTTCATCATTAACATACACTTATGATATCATTCATTATCAATTAACTCACTTCATTCTCTTCTCCATTATACTTTTTTTTCAAACTCAAAATATTATTGTCTTTGAAGATTTAGGGTTTAAAAATATTGAAATCAATTAGTTTTGAAGATTTGCACACCATGGATGACACTAAGATCATTGGTTCTAATATAAATATTGAAAACGTTGATTAGAATATTAAAAATGTTAGTTTATAAATTAGTGTTTTGATTTTTTATTTATCTCATTCGTATGTTGGGAAGATAAGTTTGTTCATCATGTTCAAATAACCAGAATTGAACTTTTACACAATATTCAATTATTTATATTTGAACAAAATATTAGATTGACCAAATATTAAATGTTCACACATAAAAAATTGAGCGTTTTAAGTTAGTTTGGTTAAAATAAATTAAACTTTTATTTATTATTCAGATATAAATTTTTATACATATTAATGTTTAACTCTGTATGTATGAACATAACTAATTTGATGAATTTGAAATGACGACAAGAGATGAGAGTTCAAGACTAACAATGAAGATTAACACCAATTACGATGGAAGCCGAATGAAACACTTCGCTGGTGATCTAAAACAACGAGATGATGAGATGAGATACAACGAGAGTTCAACATCAACTATGGAGATCAACATTGGCAAAGATGGAGGCCGAATGAAACCTCCGTCGGTGATGGAGATTAAGACCAATGAAGATGATCTATGTTGGTCTCTGTTTTGAAAATTGTGGGGTTTTTGTTGTGTGTAGTGGTGAAGATGAAGAGTTGTGTATTCAAATAGTTAATGATGTATTAATATAAGTTTAGTAATTGAAAGTTAAGGTATGAATTAAGATATTTTTAAATCATAAAAATTATTTTATGTGTACTAAATAATAGTGTATATTGAAAGTATTAGTGGTGTATAAATAGAATCACAATACTTCTTAATAATTTAGAGGGTCTACGTAAATAATCCCTTAAAATTCCATTTATAAAAAATCTAAAAAACTAATTTCTGTCTTTTAAAAAAACAATTCAACCAATTTCTCTGTCTTTTGTCAAAAAAATAAAAATAAAAATAAAAACTAATTTCTCTATCTCTAAACAGTTTGGTGTTGTGGCTTCAGGAAAACCCTTGACCTACGAATACATGGCGAAACCATGGAAATCGAAGAACTCATCGGAGGAAGCTCCGTGCAATGCCTCAAATGTTTCGGAGGAAGATAAGGAGAAGATCGAGGCTGTCGTCAAATACAAGTCTCCTTCGACTGTAAACAGCGCAGGCCATCGGCAAGAGCAAGAGCAGGATCATGAAAACGAAGAGGTAAATTTACTGATCAGACAATTTTAGATCTCAATTTCAATATGCAAATCATGTTCGTGTTCAAGTAAACCCAAAAATCACTACTGGGGTTCAAATTGAACCATGAAAATGCGATTCATTCGGTTTGGAACCACAATTATTGTTAATTGCACTTTTTTTGCTTGTAGTTTGATCCGAATTTCAATTTTTTGAATAATTTAGTCTGTACACTCTAGTTTCAATTTGGTCTTTTCATCCAGATGTTGAGGATTGAGAAAGTGAACTGCCTTAGGGCATCTCCAAGGTTTACTCATTTATTTCATTAAATTTGAGTAAAAGCTTCATCTGATGTTGATGCCCACTAGGATTTTGATCTTTCATCAAATCACCGGTCGATTGGGCGGACAACCAGGAGGATGTCTGATCGGTTGACTGGCCATTGTAAATTGCCCAATGTAAATTGCAAAGAAGTGGATGTCCGGGGACAACGGGCTGGTCGTACAGTGCTCCAACACTAACGGCTATCTACAGTAATTTGATGAAAATTTCAGGCATTCTCAATTTGATGAAAACTTTTAGATATCCTTAATTTGATGTCAAACTGATGACAACGTTAGAGCAGGATTTTGATAAGTTTTTCATCAAATTTAAATTTACTGAAAGAAAAGGTGAAATGTTGCAGATGGTCTTAGTAAGCCTATTTTATTTGTCACCGAAATGGTCAGATTTGGTTAGAAACAAATTGATTGGTTGTAAAATATTTATAATATCAATATTAGAATGATAAAAAAATCCTAACCACATAGGGGTGCCTCTCAGTTAGATTAGACCTAAGCAGCTGCAGCCCCCGAGGTCACCCTTACGTGGCTCTACACAGCAGAGCAGCTTAATTATGTAGTGATAAGTCATGAACTTGCGTACAGGTGGAGATTCGATCTCACATTTCTAACACTGGTTACGGTCAAACCTAGGTCTTGAAGGTTCTTCCTACCAATCATATGTGTTGTTGCCTTGATGGTTGGCCCAGGCGAGAGTGGAACTTGGGACCTCAAGCTTTATACCTCGAGCCTCACCAAGTTGCCACACCCCCTTGGATTATATAATATCAATATTGCTCCTTCAAATACAAAGAAACAAAAATAAAACTCAAACATATCCCTCTCTCACATGATTTGTTTTGTTACTCATCTAAATATGATAGTGAGAAAATAAAATCAATTGCTTTTCTTTTCTCACTCCATGATCCAATCGAAGTTTAAATTGGAGGTTAAACTTAACAATTTTGGGCCAATTTTCAAATTTTTAAGGTTTTAATTTGATTCTTCTATCTAAATTAGAGATTAAACTAACTATTTTGGAAGACTTGTCAATTTTCTAAGGTGGACACGTATTCAAAATTAACAAAATTTAAATGGAAGGACTAAATTAAAATTAGATTTAAGGGACTAAAGTGAAATTTAAGTCAAACAACAAGAGTGGAAAGTGTAATTATCCTTATAAATATTGTTATTGTTCATAATATGATTGCAATAGACTTAAACATCAAACAATATGTGATCTTTTTTTCTTTTCTTTTTTTGATAAATAATATGTGATCATTTTATATATAACAATTATTTAAATGATTGTTTATAACTAAGTCTATCAATTATGTAAGAGCACAAGGGTTAAGAATTTAATGAGATACTAATAAGCTACTTGAGTTCTTGTGTATATATTTAAATGGTCCAGTTCAGTTTAAAACCAGAACCATAAGTGTAATACCACGGACCAAATCGTGAAGTACGATTTGCTATCTTAAAACTAGAACCAAACCATGCATTAGCAAAACTAAACCAAACAGTGTGGTTTGATTCGGATCAGACCTATTTGTTAATTTTTCGAGATAGTAGAGAAATTTTTATCCAAATAAATGGGATAAGAGAAATCTTTTATGTAGTTTAATCATTTTTTTCCTCCTATTTATCCAAAAGAGAGAGAGAGAGAGAGTCCTATTTATCTTTTCTCTTCTTTCTTTCCTATCTTGACTTAAAGTAATCATTTCTTTTCTTTTCTCTCCTAGACTCTCAAGCTGTTTAAAATGTGCACAATTTTTGTTATAGATTATCTAGTTGCCCCAACTCACAAATCCAAATAAGTTTTCACAATGTTTGGCCCCAAAAAAAAAAATGTAGGACTTTGCGAAGGTATTCGCTGCTAGAATTACTTTGGATCCTTGTTATTCCGTAAGGAGTTGGACAAAGAATAATGCATGAGGAATATGTTAAAACTAGAACTTTTTGTGATGATTCTTGGCCTAGTTTTATTTTTAGCTAAAACAATTCTTATTTGCCCTGCTTGTTCTTGGCCAATAATACTTGGCCATGTTTATTGTATTCACATCCTTGTTTCACATTCACAGTCTGTTTGCATTGGGTTATTTCGGACAGAAAAGGAAGGAAATGCATGGTTTTGGTTCATACTGTTGAACCAGATGTGCCAAAAGAGCACTATCTAAAAAGGGTTTTTGTCAATGTGTTCCTTTTTGAAGTTTTGGTTGTCGGAAGGTCAAGTGGGTGGGGATGTAGGTTCACTTAAGCAGAGATCACCTAGCACACACCCACTTGGCACCATCACGAAATAGACTGTTTGAGAGGGAAAGTGCTGTGGCAGCATCATAATCACCTTTGACATTAGTGCCACCCCCGGTTGACATTGATTTTAAACTAGACTGAACCAAGTTTTTAGATCCCTGGAGTCCATTCAAATTTCTGCTTCTTGTGAAAGAAACAAGAAATGGCTATGAGTTTCACTTCTTGGAGCAATCAAGAAGCACACATAATTTTATCTAGAAAATAAGTAGTTTTAGCATCACATCACTCAGACTCAAATATCAAATGTAAATGGCATGATGAAATAAGATTCAAATGTGTATCTAAGCATTGGCTTTCTCTCATCTCAGACTCACAATTTTCCTCTAACCACACCCGCCGAACTAACATTTCCGTGATCTCTGGCCTATACTTCTACAGGAATTGGATGTTGAAGGATGTTAATTCTGTCTCGCTTCAAAGCCACTCAACTCTTCCACCATTCACCTTCCTTGATGGTGTTGGAGAAGAATCTACACGTATGTTTGTAAACTCTTGCAACGGCTTGCTGTTGTGCTCGAAGATTTACATACAGCGTTACATTGTTTGTAATCCGACCACCCAAAAATACACTGCATTACCTGAACGTGTTGGCACATCATTTAGATTATTCTATGACAAGTTTGGTGCTTACTTGGCTTTTGACCCTTCAAAATCACCTCACTACAAAGTTGTATTGGTTGATTATGGTCTTGATTATGCCGGATGCTCTGGAAGATCTTATCTAATTGATATCTACTCTTCAGAAAGTGCCTCTTGGAAACATGTGTGTCAGTGCACCACCAGGTGGCACCTTCAAACGCAGGGTCTTTTGGAATGGAGCAATTCATTGGATGAATTCCATGAACCTCCACATTCGATTTGATGTTGATGGAGAGAATTTGACAGGAACTCCAATGCCTCCATACCCTAAAATTCTTTCAGAAGATAAAATTCTATATTTTGGAGAATGTCATGGCCATTTGTTTCTAATTCAGAATCGTCAGTCATTTCCTGTGGGATTCAGGATTCTTGAGATGAACAGGGACTACTGCTGCTGGAATGTGATGTACCGGGTTAATTTGAGACCTATAATAGATGTCTTCCCGTCGAAAATTTACCCAAAATTTAATGTGCTTTGTGTTGCGAAGGGTGCAAATGAAGAAGATATTGCACTGGTGTTAGCTATTCCTGGCAAAGTTATTTCTTATAATCCCAAGTCCAAGACATTGAAGGTGGTTAGTAAGTCTGTAGATTGGGAAACAACTTGGTATGATACGTATCAATTCATTGAAAGCCTCTCACCTGTTTGATCAATGGCCCACCTGTTTGAGCAAGCCTATTAAAATCATTTTGCATTAAGTAGCTTCTTAGTGTTAAAAAACAGTATTTTGTTGTCACAAATTGCAGTAGGGTGCTTGTTTTAAAGGCTTATGTTGCTGTAATTTGTTTCTTCAACAGATGGTTATGTCCCTCAGTGAACTCTTCTAAATTTCTCTCTGCTTAGTATTATCAGTAGTTAGCTTCTTTTTGCTGGTTAGATTCTGTTTTAAGCTCGCTTTCATTGGTCGATTTTAAGGCTGACATAGAATTGTTGTGTATATAGTTCATCCATAGATCCTCTCTGTAATAATTACTTTTGTTGCTTTATATGTTAGCCGCGTTTTGACCACTGTAATGCATTAACCCAAGTATTATTCATTTGTCTGATCGCCAAAGAGGGCATTTTAAACTCATTCACTTTGCTTGGTTTCCATTTTTTAAAAACAGTTTTCAGAAAATTCTACACTCTTATTTTTCGTGTTTTTTTGTTTTTACTGAATTTTTTTAATATTTTATGCAAATTTTTTACTTTTTAGACACACTTAACATAAATACACCTAAAAAGTAAAAAAATTGTAAAAAAAATCTTTTAAAAATTCACTAAATACCAAAAATATAAAAAAAAAATACAAGAATTTAGTACATTTTTTGTATTTTTATGTATTTCTTAATTTTTTAAAATATTTTTTTACAATATTTTTACTTTTTAGACACATCTAAGTAAGGTGTATCTAAAAAAGTAAAAAAAATGTTTAAAATTTTAAAAATATTTACTAAAAACAAAAAAATACGAAAATTAAAAAACTCAGTTTTCAAAAAACTTAATTCAAAAAATTCAAACGGTTTTGATCTTCTTGTTTTGATGTAGTTGGGTTTAGTGGTTTTAAATACTCAAGGAAGGAATGGAAAATATTGAAACAAAATGTTCCAAATATTGTTGTAATTTCCTTTTTTGTCTGAATATTTTGCCATCTCAAATGGTTGGTTAGTATTTCATTCATTGGACTGATTGCCAGGTATTTGACAGTCTTTTATTTATGTTAATTAATTGATCAGTTTCAAAATTGTTTATTTATTTGAGGTCTGGATTTAATACATATCACTCATTGACGTTTGAAAAATTACATTCTAACCCCTATGATTAATTGTCTCATTTCACAGATCCCCTTGCTTATATAAAATGCAACAACTCTTGGTAGAAAAACAAAGAAAATTACATTGAAAAAAAATAGATAAATAAAGCAAAGGAAAGAAGAAAAAAAGAAAAACAGAAGAAGTAAAGCAAAGTAAAAAAAGAGAGACGGTATGATTCAATCTATTTTTTATACTAACATTAATTTTGTCTAAAATGTAATTTCTCAAATGTCAGGGATGATATGTACTAAATCCAAACCTTAGGGGTGTAAGTATAATTTACCCATTTATTTATGTTAACAAATAGTGTCTTTTCATCTTTCTCTTTCATTTATTTATTTATTTTTTTTTTTTTCTTTTTTCTTTTTTTGGTTATCTAGCAGATTTTTTTTTATACTATAAGGTTTCTCAAGCTTGGAGTATTGTGACAAAGTTGCTTCAATCGTGACTTTATTATGTTTTCAATTTTTCTTACAAAATATCAGATGAAAAAATGTTTATTACTAGGATCATAATAATAACTATAAATATAATATTTATTACATTTAACCTCTAAGTCTTTTAAACAAAACTATAGTTAGCTTTTTTTGCAACCAATTAATATACCAATATATCTTTATATAAAAACAATTTAAATAATTATATATTAATACATATAATTTTTATTTAAATATTTTTTTTAATATAGTTTTAAGTTAATTAAGACGTTACAGTTTAATTCTGATTTATTCGACAATTATTTGACCAACGGTCTGGGTTTCAAAACATTACATGTCGTTTAACATTTAAATACATGGTGAAACCATCGAAATCAAATTATGCATCGGACAATGATTCTCTATACAATATGTTGGAGGACATTAGGGAGGAACTACATGTAGATGGCAGAAAGGAAAAATTACCACATGAGGGGTACGTATGCCTGTGAGGAAAAAATTTACCACGATAAAATGCAAATGAAAGATTGTGAAAATACAAGTATCATTTTCCCGAGGTTCTGATAAGACCATCTCCAACGGTTCATCAAAACTGATATCAAATTCAAATTTTGATGAAAAACCTGCTTTTCACTGCTCCAACGGTTGCACCAAATGAATATCAAATTGAGATTTTATCAAAAAATTTACCAAACTGATGACGAAATACTGATTTCACCAAAACACTGTTGGTGACCGTTGGAGGGAGACCAACCGGTCAACCAGCCGGTTGCCCGGCCGGTTGACCAACCGGTCGACCAGTAAAAGATTCAAACAGTTCAGGAAAAAAAGTTCAAACCGTTAAAAAAAAAAAAAAAAATTTTGCCTAACCGGTCGACCGGCCAGTCGACCGGCCGGTCGACCACCCCGGTTGTCCCGAAAAAAGTTCAGAAAGTTCAAAAAAAGTTCAGACAATTCGGGAAAAAAAAAATATATATTTTGGCCTAACCGGTCAACCGGCCGGCCGACCACCCGATTGTCCCGGGATAGATTTGGTGAAAGGTGAACCGTTGGAGTGAGTGGTATCAAATTTGGTGAAATGGGTCATTTTTTACTCAGATTTTGTGAAAAATTTGAGTCACCGTTGGAGATGCTCTAATCGAGTGACACTACAGTAGTTGGATTATCAATGGGACCAGATTACATTCATAATTACTCGTCTAAATATAATGGGGGACCTTATCTAATTGATAGTGCGTCTTGGAAACACATTCCTGCCAACGGACGTTGCGGTGATTACTCGACTCACGGGGTCTTATGGAATGGAGCAATCCATTGGTTAACAATTAGGGATTTTATTATGTGTTTTAATTAAGAATTTTAATAAGAAAAAAGAAACAAAAAAGAAAAGAAAAGGGAAATGAAAAAAAAAAAAAGAAAAAAGAAAGATATTTTTTAGAGTACCTGGGGCATAGGTCACCTAATGTATAAAAGTGGGTTTAGTAGCGTTATATCTCAACTATAAATCAGATTTGAGTGTAAATCTGAAAAAAATTTCAGTGATAAGCTACTGATGAAGACGAGAGGAATAGTAATGACTAGCATGATGATAAATAATAAAAAAAAGAAACCTAACGATAAAAATCGAAAGGAAGAGGAAGGTTAGAAGTGGCACTACTCTACCAACAGAGTTAAGAAAAATAGTAGGTTTGGTTTCTCTCAAGTTGTCATCAACTTAACAGAGTGTTTTCTCAAGTTGTCATCTCAACTTAACAGAGTGTTTGGATTTGGTAGAACCATTTTGGGACCGATTTCAGTAATTCAAACCGTTCACTTTTTATTGAGTAGAATATGTGTAAAAAATCAAATGAAAGATAGGTAGCTATGGGAATTGACATCCAACCATATGAAAGAGTTTTACGCTGTGTTTGGTTTGGGGATTTGAAAAGGGATTTGGAAAGGAAAAGGGAAAAGTTAGGTAAGATATAAATAAAATATACATATATTTCACCTAGTTTCACACACCTTTTCCCTTTCCCTTTCCCTTTCCCTTTCCAAATCCCTCTCCAAATCCTTCAACCAAACACAGCATTAGAGTCAACAGAATATAGCATAATGAAGAAATAAGGGAATAACAATCTGGAAATCCTACAAATTCCCCTCGTGATATTGCACATGTCCTATTGTTCACATGCTTACAAGTGCTGTCTGTGATCAATCTTTTGCTTTATAAAGTGCATGTTTTGTTGCTAAATTGAAGCAAGTTGCAGAGCCTTCTCTAAATTTGCTTTCCTTTCCCCTCCACCTTGTAGACTATAGTATTGAATTTCATTCATAGTTTGACAATTTTGCCTACTGAATAATTATTATTATTATTATTTACAATGGAATGGTATGAATATATAAAAGTTCGATAAAATTGATTTGTGGTTCATGAAATGGTGCATTACAATCTGAGTAAGATCACTGGCTTCTTCATGTGCATTTTGACCAGGAGGGATAATGAATTGATAAATAGTACCGTAAAGATTTGAATTGATAACATCAAAAGGTTGGTCAATTGTAAGGGCATATCTTAAACTGATAAGAAGAATGATACAGTTTGGCAACCATGGAGCTTCAGTTAATTAGAGAGGTGGTTAGTTATCTTGAGTTAGTTTTCTGTCTCTCTAAGACACGTGCAACTAGATATAGAGGACAGATCCATTGTCAAGAGATACACAGAAAACAAAGAAACAAAAGATCAGTTTCTGTTTTGATACCTCTCTCTCGCATTTTCTTTCTCATCCTATCTCTGTAATTGTTGATGTTGGATCATTAGAGTTTACAGAGGTGGTATTTTAGAAAGAGTGCCTTAAGCAGTTGTAATAATATTCTATCTGGCTGATTTGAATCCTGTTAATGTTGGGATTACACAAGCCCAAAAAGGTAATCAACAAACAATCACACAAATAAGACACAAATTTTTATATGGTTTGGCCCAATGCCTACGTCTATGGGAGAGAGAGAAAAAGCTTCACTATGAACAAAAACAAATACAAAACAGAGAAGAACTCTTTTACTCTCTCAACTCAACTCACAGCTCTCAAACACTTTTCACAACTCTCTCTTTTCTTCACTCTCTATCTATCAACTCAGCTCACAACTCTCCCTATTTATACACAAACGGGAGAGCTAACAATTAACACTTGCCTACCAACAACCAACCACTAAAATAAATGACAAGCCATTAACATAGCCACTCTACAGTAGGATAACTAGGTTGAAAAACTCCAAATCTCTAGCCCAAATCTGCGGCCTCAATTCTTAACTTCCAAAGCCAACTTCACATGGTGTGGATACTCAACAGTTGAGGTCTCCTCTTGCTTCAGCTGAAGCTTCCTCTCGCTTGAGGGTAGGGATTCTGATGTGGCAAAAAATAATAGCATCTCCATTCTGTCAATGAGATATTGGGTGCAACAGTAATAACATTATTAGATACTCTCATCGATCACTCTTAACCCCACTTTAATTGATTGGTTTTTATTGATCAATTATGTTGTGAAAGATGTCACCCTGACACTATTGATTTCATTCCCATGATGTACAAATTTATTAACTCGTTTGATCATTTTCTATATGTGACCTAATCTGTTGGGAGTACTATCGTCAGCACATGTAAAGGGGAAGTACTATTGTCCGTACCTAGTACAAAAAGGTGCACATAAAGTATGTTTTTAAGATTGTAGCTATTGCACCTTGATTTTATTTTCCTAAAGAGTAATGCTAAGAATCTTAAA